GAGATGAGAGTTCCGGCACTGAGGAACTTCAGAAAGCAGTCCTCCCACTTACACACTCTCAGATGTTCAACTGTTTGTGTAAGCACCACAAAGAGCTTCCTGGGCATGCCAGATTAGGGTCTGTGCAGCTTCTATGACGTCTGTTTATTCTCGTCCTCGGATCATTCTCTTGAACCTGCTGAGTGTCTTGAGGCTGAGACAGTGTGCTGGCCAGCGTCACTTTCACCTCCAGAGGTCTTTAGCCTAGCTGTGCGGTTCAACAGCTCACCCTCAAGGCAGAGGCCTAACTGCAGAACACGGCCACGCTGTTGGCTTCACGAGGTGAGTGCAAGACTTTGTGCCAGCAACCAACTTAGACTGAACTCTGAGAATGTGAGTGACTCAAAGGGAGCTGGACCCCAGAAGGACCCCTGCTGTGCCCTTTCTACTTAGAGGAAATGACACTTTGAGATTGTGCCTCCTGTCCACAGTACTTACTGGGCAAGACCCTGAGTATGACTCCAGCAGGAAATCTATGTAACCATTGGAGGACTTCCCCACACACGCTGCTGGGAGGGAGGACCCTGGACCTCATGTCACCCAGCTCCTAACTTAATCTTTAGAGTCACATCCTGTGCCCCAAGCACAAACCACCCTGAGAAACTTAAGATTAGTAAAGGACTCTTCAAAATAAGACTTGTTGCCAAGAGAAGAATAAGGAGGTATTACATGAGGAAAAACAGCCATGGGTCTGGAATGGGAACATATTCATTTCCTGAAAGAAGTCTTTAAACATCACTTCTTAGGACTGGAGATTTGAGTCAGCAGTTAAGAGCACTGGCTGCCCTTCCAGAGAACCTGAGTTCAGTGCCCAGAACCCACATGGCCGCTCACAGCCATCTGTAACTCCAGTTCCAGGGGACCTGACGCCCTCTTCTGGGCTCTGTAGGGGTTTGCATGCATTTGTTACACCTACATTTATGCAAACAAAACATTCATAAGCATAAAGTAAAATAAAATAGAAACCAGACTTTAAATCTGGAGTTATTGCCATTTCTGGTGCCTGAAAATTGACAGAGGAGACAGCTTCAAGGTCCGTTTTCCTTGACATCCTTGGTTTAGAATCTCAAAGCCGTGGGGCTCTGGGTTTGTGGCCTTGTAGCGCCACCTAGAGGCAGAGTAGATTTATGCACATCTGGCAGCACACTGAGGCCAGATCCTACCTGGGGAATGAGGCTGACTTCTGGCCTACACCCACAAAAAGAGAGACCTAGGAAGGGAAGGGTAAACTGAGGAAAAAGAAAAGCAGCAGAGGGAACCCCAGAGCCTAAGGAGTCTGTTCCCTCCTCTGAAATAGAAACCACAAAGACGTTACTCCCCGTGATAAGGAAGTGAGAAGATGAAGAGAGGGACAGGGTGTCACAGGTGACAGGGCACTTACCCAGCATTCGGAGAGGTCCTGGGCTCCATACCCAGCAAAAGACTAGACAGAAAAAAATCCAGAGCCGTATAGCATGAATCCATCTCCAGGTACCTCCTACCTGTGTGGCCTCAGGTAAGTGCCTTAACCTCTCTGTGCTTCAGTGAAATGAGGGTAATAGGCTCTGGGGGAGATGGAGTGGGTGAAGTGCTTGCTGTGTAAGCATGAGTTTCGATCATCAGCACCATGTCAGATGTGTGTCTGTGGATAGCGCTGAGGATGGAGACGGGTGGGTAGATCACTGACCAGCCACTCCAGCTGGCATAGTGAGCCCCAGGCTCGAGAGAGACCCTCTCTCAAAATATAAGGTGGAGTGACTGCAGGATTGGAAAGATGGCTCACTTGTTTTTGCAAAGGACCTGGGGATGGTGTTGCTCAAAATCTAAATGGTCATAGTAAAATCCCGGAGCCAGATGTTGGGGTAAATGCTGAAAGATCAGAGAGGCACAGGAACAAGCCACTAGAGAAACTTCTATCTCCGTGAATCGTCTGACTGAAAAACTCTGAGTCTTCAGCCAAAAAGGCCTCTAGTTCTTTTCTCCTCATGCCTTATATGTCTTTCTCCACCCCTCCATATTACTTCCTTCCTAGTGCTGGGATTAATGGCATGTGTGCTTCCCAAATACCAGTAGCAAAGGCATGAGATCTCAAGTGCTGGGACTAAAGGCATGTGACTCCCAAGTACTGGGATTAAAGGTGTGTGCCACCACTGCCTGGCCTCTATGTTTAATCTAGTAGCTGGCTCTGTCCTCTGATCCTCAGGCAAGCTTTATTTGATCCACAGTATATCACCTCATGTGGGATGGGATTTATTTGTTTGTTTATTTATTATATTTGAGATGGGGTCTCTCTATATAGCTGTGGCTGTCTTGAAACTCACTGTGTAGACCAGGCTGGCTTTGAACTCACACAGATCTCCCTGCCTCTGCCTCCCAAGTGCTGGGATTAAAGACATGCACCACCACACAGCAAGCTAAAATAAATCTGTTTTTTAAAAATGCTTGTGCCCCATAATTTTGTTCAGTTTTGGGCTAATGTTGGGGGTTTGTTTGTTTGTTTGTTCTTAGAACATTTAATGTGGTCTGGGCTAAGTTCAAATGCATAGTATAAATATTTAATACATTTAAAAAAAATTTTTTTATTGTTCATTAGTGTTTTGCCTGTGTAAAGGTGTCGGTTCCCTGGAACTGGAGTTACAAACAGTTGTGAGCTGCCATGTGGGTGCTGGGAACTGAACCCGGGTCCGCTGGAAGAACAACCAGTGCTCTTAACCACTAGGCCATCTCTCCAGCCCCTTTAATACATTTTTGACTTGCTGGTTTCTCAAGTTATTATGGATCTACCAGGTTATAACCCCCCTCCCCCAAGCTGAGTGATATCTGGGTCAGATAAAAGTATTAGAAGACGTCTCTGAAGGGTCCCGGGACAGGGTCTGACAACTGCAGCTGGAAGACAGGAGAAAGGAGGGACCTGAGCTGTGACTGAGCAGGGATCTGCTTCCTACCTCTCCTTTCTGTAGGAGGCTGACAGGGATGCGTGGCTGTGGCTGAGCCATCAGGCTCCCAGTAGGGTGAAGCTGGAGGTCGGCCAAGTGAAACTAAGTTCAGTTACTCTGAGACTCAGCAGAGGTGATGTGGCTGCCACCAGGCTGTGAAGCTTTCATTCCAACACTGTTGACCAAACACAGATCTAAACAAGGAAGCTCACTTCTGTTCTGAGTTCCACACCTTCCTTCCTGCACACTGGCGCAATTCCTTTGCTCCACGCTGCTGGTCCCTCCAGGGTAAGAACGGATCATTATTGAGGACTGAGATGTGCTGGTCCCTGCAGGGTAAGAACGGATCATTATGAGGACTGAGATGTCCCTTCTTTCGTCTCTCTGGTCCCCAGGGCCTGTGTACACTGGGCTAATTTAATTTGTGGAGACCTTGGAGATTTGCTCACTTTAGCCGTTGCATTTCTCTTTTTGCATTTCTCATGGCGCCCAGGCTGGGCCTTAAACTATTTAGCCAAGGAAGACCTAGAGCTTTTGGCCTCCTGCCTCCACTTTTGAGTGCTGGGATAACGGGTTTGCACCACCACTGCCGGCCTATTCGGTGCTGGAGATGAAACCAGGGCCTCATGTATCTGGGCAAGTACTCCCAACTGAGCTACAAGCCCAGGCTGCCTGGATTCAAGTTATAATTGACTGTGGCTGTCGTAAAGAACTGTTGCAGATCAGCCAACTAGCCGGGCTGCTTACCCGTGGGGGACCAGCCCCCACCATTATTTACTCCAGGAACTCTTGAGGAATGAGAGACAAGAGACTTAGTTAGAAATAGAGAGGGGAGGGAAAACAGAGAGAAAACACAGGATAGACTCGGGTGGGCCTGGATCCTTATCCACCGGCCCAGAACTTTATTCCAAAGGTCTATTTATAACAATGCCAAGGGGTGGAGCAAAAGACCTCCCTCTTGTTAGTTACAGTCACCTGGTACCCAGGCCCAGGGTCCAGTCAACCTCTTACAAAGTCCTGCTGGGTCCAGCCACAAGGAACCTCACACTTAGCACCCCACCCCCACCCCCGCCTCTCTTTTTGATTTATTTATTTATCATGTACAGTGTTCTGCCTGCATGTATGCCTGCAGGCCAGAAGAGGGCACCAGGTCTTATTATAGATGGTTTTGAGCTACCACATGGTTGCTGGGAATTGAACTCAGGACCTCTGGAAGAGCAGCCAGTGCTCTTAACTGCTGAGCCATCTCTCCAGCCTGGCTGCTTACCTCTTAATGGTCCTTAAGAGCCTTCCTGTTGACTCTGGTGGGTTTTCTTTTCTTCTTTTCTCCCTCCCTCCCTTCTCTCCTAAGTCAGGATCTGGCTATGTAACCCTGGTTGACCTGGGACTCAATATATAGATCCGAGCTGACCCTAAGCTCAGAGAGATCTGCCTGCCTCTGTATCCTAAGCGCTGGGACCAAGGACATGTACCACCATACCCCACCATTCTGTTGGCTTTTCTGGTGGGTCACTAGCTGCAGATGGCTAGTATCACTTCTACATGCTCTCCACAATCTTCGTTTCCTTGGAACAGCACTGGAGTAAGTGGTACCTGTCCCCCACCAGCCTTTCCATCCCTGATCAGACAGGGAACATGTGTGTCTTTGGTGAAGTCTCTTTCCCAGAGGACTGATACATAACTTTCCAAAGGACTGCTAAATGCCTTTCACCCAGATATGTTGACTTATCTATCACTACCTGGTGATCATTTTTTCCAACCTTTGGCTTTATAATAAAGCTGCCGTGACCACTCACGTCAAGGCTTTGTGTAAATACATTTCTTTTCTCTTGAGTGTATATCTTGGAGTAGAGTTGTTAGGTCATAGCTGGGTCTGATGATGTCTATAATCTGCTGTGGATATCACTCTATATAAATAAAACTCTGATGGCCAGTGACCAGGCAGGAAGTATAGGCGGGACAAAGAGAGAGGAGAATTGGGGAAACAGGAAGAAGGAG